CCCTGAATTCTCTGGATTCACACGTGAGATACTCGTTAATTCATGTTCTGGTACTTCAGCTATGCAGGTGACAATTTTTCCAGTTGCTTCGGCTGATTCTATAATATATTATCTAATGGATGGCCTGCTGGCAAACCTGGTGTTCCTAAATTCGATTTTCCTGGCACAGCTAGTTCCACGGTTTTCCTGGCACAGCTATTTCCTATCATTCGGGCTACTAAACCTACCCGCCTGGGCAGAGCTAAATATTTTTAAAATTTTAAAATTTGTACATTTGTCCCCTGAAAAATTCGTCCCAACCAAAGATGCACAGAAGTTTACAAGTATCATGGTGTGTAAAAAAGTAAGTTTTTCGCCATAAAAAAACCAACGATTCGCTACCAGCAAAGAATTTTTCCAAAACAAAAAAAAGCTAGACAGAAGAAGCATTAACGCACTCGGCTAAGCCTATGCCACTACCGCAGATCAGTGCTGGATGCCGGACATACTCTTCTAGAATTTCCAGGATTTGCCCGAAAGTTGGCCTTTTATGGCGTTCAATGTGCCAACACTGTAGCATGAGGGTATGTAACGAATCTGGTGTATCCATTGGTGCTGGTAAACGATATCCCAGTGTTATTTCGCTGATCACTTTCTGGTTCGTCCAATCCCAGTACGGTCGTTCACCAAACGAACAGATCTGAAAATATTTTTGTTGTGTGGTACCAATGATTTCCCAATTTACGAACTGCATTTTTGAGGTGATACGGTACCTGGTCGAGGAACAGAAGTGGTAGTGGCTTTGAGACAAAGTAGTTTTTATGTTCAACAGACACCAAAAGATTTCGAGCCAGCTAAAATCTTGCAAAGAGCTTCGGACAGAACAACTACTGAGCCTGTAATCCTTTCAGGGAAACAAAACGAATGTTAGGTTTATCAACAACATGCTGCCCATCAGACCGTCAGAAGTAGCAATTCCAGGGTCGGCAGCAACATGCTGACCATTCGGTGATACAGCACTGGTCAAAGCAGCTGGAAAAGATGGTAAATGCACAGTTGGAAAAGCGGACTATGAATTACACATCCGATTCAAGCATCCCACTAAATAATAATTCGCCAGCGCACGGGCTGCCCGTGCGAAGATGCGCTTTTTGCATAGTTCCCCGCAGTTTTTGTTGCTACCGGCATCGGTTTTCCCAGCAAATGCTTCTAGCAAAACAAATTTAGACTGGTCTTTAGAATTGCCAGAAAAAACCCTCTTAAAATATCAGCTTTCAAGCTGTCCTGGCTTCTGAGTTAGTAATATACTCAAAAAAAACTTTCACGAAACCGTACATGGGTGCCACGCTTACCCGGGGGCTGGGTGTGAGCTCATTAATACCTATTTGGACGGGGAAAATCCCCTTAATATTTCAGCCTTGCAGCTTCTCAGATTCTCGAGTTATCAACTTACCTGAGAAAAAAATACCAGTTCTGCCGCAGAGCTGAGAGACCAGACATAGCCCTGTGCACCAGTGGGCTAACATAACAACGTTCCTAGCAGCAACAAAACCACCAAGCATAACAATGGCCTTTACACCAAAGAAATTAAGCTACCTGGATAATCGAAAATGCCACGTCAGGATAGTGTGGGGAGGGAAAGTGGGGATG